GTAAGTTTTCGTGGGCAGCCCCGCGCTCCCGTCAGCGTGGATCCCGGCCCGGGGCATCCGGTGGGACCGTGTGCCGGGCTCTCAGCGCGTGGGTCCCGGCAGCCGAGGCCTTGCCCCGTCACAGACCGGTCCAACCAGGGGGAGCAGCTACGTGGCGTGGGGCAGACCAGGGACGGGCACGGTCCGCCTATGACTAAGGCCGCGGCGCAGGCCGGGCTAGACCTCGGTTTCCGCGTTCGAGCTCACCCACCCGCCCTGGGAAGGAACCAGGAGGAAGTGGCGAGGGAGGAGTCTTCGCCGGGAATTGAGAAGTGTTCTTAGGGGAGAGGGCAGGCGTGGTGTGCGCTCCATTGCACTCCCGGATGGAGCTGAGTGTCCACCTCTGGCGGGTCCTGGCCTGTCGCAGCTGATGGACTGTGGAGGGTTCTGAGCCCCACTCGCGGGTGCACGCGCAGTGCGGCCTGGGGGGCGCATACACTGAAGGTGGAGCGGACCTGCAGATCCGAGATTGGGGATGCGGGGGAGGAAGCCTCTTTTGGGACCATAAGCATCCGGGCACTTTATCCACAGAGGTAGGGAAGGCCAGATTGTAAACTCGCTGAGAGGGGGGCCCTAACCCAGGATATAAGGGAGTCTCCCTGTGTCCCTCTCCTTGGAGACTTCTGTGCCGTGAGTGTGACCGCCAGGCTCAGATAACTAGCTGCTGGGGAGCTGGTCACCCCTGGCCAGAGCATGGGGAAGAGAGATGGGACTACGAAGCGCAGGACCCTGCAGCCATGGAGGCGAGGTCCTCACAGGAGCCAAGAGAGGGGTGCGGATCGTGCTTTAGATGAAGACTGGACCTCAGGAGCTGAGCCCCGAGCTCGGTGCAAGCTCCGAGGGTGGATCCCTGAAACTCCCCGTCACTCGGGCCAGAGCTCTTTTCCGTTGTGGAAAGGCGAGAAAACCACAAGACGCTACCCACTGACCCGGAGCGGGGCGTCCCCGGTTGTATGTAGAATCAGACCGTCCGTCACCATGGACAGTGGCAGTTGGCGAGTGGGTTCTGTGCTCCGGGACGGAGATGCTCTGATCCTGCTGGGCATCCCTCTGGGATGGCCCTTGGAATCCCCTTCACCAGGCAGCTTGGAAACGCAAAAAGAAACCCTTCCTCCTCTCCAACCCGTGGGAGGCACGGTGCCTCCTGCCCAAGGCCCTTGTGTTAGGAGTAACTCTACCGAGGGAGGGTCACCCGGAGAAGGAAAGGGGCTGGAACGGAGCCACTGCATCCCAGTCCAGGGCCCTGACTTCCCCGGGAAAGGAACAGGAAGGAGCAAGTTCTCTCTTTCCCAGTCTGGAGCTCAGAGCCAGCCCAAGGCAGGGGAATATGATAGTGCCGTCCCTGTGCCCACCCTGTTCTGTGACCAGAATTCTCTTCCTTCCGGCCCTGGCACTAGAGTCCGCTCAGCTTTCCTCCTGCCCCTAGCAGCCCTCTCATCCTGGCGCTCCTCGCTGAGGCACTCCTCTCGGTCCCAGGCCCTCTCCTTGGGCCTGAATAACATACCCACCCTTTATTCCCAGCCTCCAGCCCTCCTTTACCCCAACCCAGAATCCCCATTTTCCAGGGCCCACACATTTGTTCTTACCAGCCTTAGGGGCCTCCCGCTGTCCCCAAGGCTCGTGCTGAAGTTGTCACTTCTCGATGCTCTCTCCACAAGACCTTGGGAGCTCGGGGAAGCACACGGGCCTCAGTTCCCTCCTCTCCCAGGACCTTTCTCCGGGAGAGCCCACCTACCCTCTGCACCGCCCTTGCTCTGCTGGACAGCAGTGAGTCCGGGCGCAGAGCAGTGACAGGCTGACTCTACCTGCGTCCTCACCCGTCTTCCCGACCCGTCCCCATCAGCTGCTTTCAGCTTGGGGCGCCGAAGCACAGCCCGGCATAGGGCTATTCTGTAGGAGACCTGGTGGGAACTCCCTGGGGACTTGGGACAAGGCATTAGTCAGCCATGATCTCAGCTGGTCTCTGACACTCCCTCTCCTATTAGGGCCTGTCTGACATCACCCGGAAAGGAAGTGAGGCTGATGCAATGGGACCAAGGCAGTTGGTAGGAGAAAGTTTATTCAGTGCCCGACTGCCCTGGTCCATACTCCACCTTTCCGATAAGGATCCAAGTCCTGGAGGAGTGGGGGAGGGGCTGAATGGTGGCGCTGCCTCTTTGCACCAAACATCCAACAGCAGGAAGGAGGTGCAGAAACCTACCTGCTTGGCACTTGTGGGCAGGCTCCAGCAGGAGGCAGACTTGGAACCTGGCCTGCAGCTACCTTTTGTGCAGCCTGGGTCAAGCTCAAATGGCGTGTCACAGTGGTTTCCTCACTAGATCTCAGACGTGCGGCTGGCCCCAGGCCCTCTGCCAAGGGGTGCTAATGTTTTAGAGGTTCCCCTCCCCTCTGCCCACTGGTGGCTGGGCTCCTGCTGTGCACCAGCCCTCACACTTCTCACCATGCCGTGGGCCAGGGCCCTTTGCCAGGGTGAGGGGCAAAGTGGGCTTCCTTCTGCAGGACACACACAGGCCCACCTAAAGTGCTGGGACCGGGCTGTGCCGCTGCGGTAGTTTTACTGTGAGTGAGTCCATTCCAACGTCCCTTTCTCTTCCTGGCCCCGGGCTTTGTGTTTCAGTGCCTTGGTTTTAAGGTGCCCTCAGGGTCTCACCTGGACTGTCGCAGTCGGGGCAGAGAGCAGCCTTTGCTGTCTCCACCCCTGGCATGCAGAGCCCCAAGCAGTGATGGGTTCTCTCATCAGGCCCACACGTTGTCAGTTTCCAAAGGCTACGCCAGAGGCCGCTTCTCAGAGCGGCCCACCCAGGACTCACCTCTGTGCCTGTGGCATGCCCTGCCGCAAGGATGGCTCCTTAAGGGTCCGTGCTGGCCCATCTTTCAGGACGAGCCCGTGCAGTGGGAGACACCTGACCTTTCTCAGGCTGAGATTGAGCAGAAGATCAAGGAGTACAATGGCCAGATCAACAGCAACCTCTTCATGAGCCTGGTGAGTTGACAGCCTGGGAAGGGGTGCGGGGAGGGGCAGGGGCCCAGCTGTGGGCCCGATGTCTGAAGGGTCGCAGCTGAGGCACAATTGGGCGGGCCCAGCAGAGATGGGTGCACATCCAGCCTGGCCCCGTGCGGACTGGCAGTGCCCAGATCTGTCCCTTCTCACCTGGAAGCCAGTCATGGTTCGGTTTCTCTTCAGAACAAGGACGGCTCCTACACAGGCTTCATCAAGGTGCAGCTGAAGCTGGTGCGCCCTGTCTCCGTGCCTGCCAGCAAGAGGCCGCCCACCTTGCAGGACGCCCGGCGGGGCCCAGGGCGGAGCACAGCCGTGAGGCGCCGCACCTCCTTCTACCTGCCCAAGGATGCTGTCAAGCACCTGCACGTGTTGTCACGCACGCGGGCACGCGAGGTCATCGAGGCCCTGCTGCGCAAGTTCTTGGTGGTGGACGACCCCCGCAAGTTCGCACTCTTTGAGCGGGCTGAGCGCCACGGCCAAGGTGGGCTCCCACCTCACCCCCTGGGGGATGTATGTGCGTGCAGCTGTGCGCGCAGGGCTGCGGGGCCGGGCCTGACTAATCACTCCCCCTGCTGACCTCAGTGTACCTCCGGAAGCTGTCGGATGATGAGCAGCCCCTGCGGCTACGACTCCTTGCGGGGCCCAACGAGAAGGCCCTGAGCTTCGTGCTGAAGGAGAATGACTCTGGGGAGGTGAACGTGAGTACACAGCCTCCTTCATCTGGGTTGTCACTAGGCAGGGCTGAGGGTTGCAGCTACAGTAAGGCTCGGAGGAGGAGGAGGGTGACGGACAAGCCCCGCCACGCTTCTCCAGGAGTGTGTGAGCCTGTGGCCGAGTGAAGGCTTCCTGGCCGTTCGTGCAAGTCTGGGCCTGTCTCGGACGCCAGGGAGAACGGCTTTGGTGCTCTGCTCTCTCCCGTTGTGGGAGTCCTCGGGAGATGCAGGAGTCCATCTCACGCTGTGGTGATCCCAGGCCATATTGCAGCCACACAGGTGGCCCCAGGACGTCCAGGGCTTCCCTCCAGTCGTGAGGACTTTTCACCTGGGAGCTTTCTGGTTCCAATGTGTTGGGCCCATGAAGTGGGATTAGACTCTAAGAGTGTGAGCATGACCTGTCTGTGGTGACTGGGAACATCTGGTTTGGTTACCTGTCTCGAGGTGACTGCCTACTTTGTGGGACCCGTCTTCTAGACAGACTTGGTGGGAACCCTAGCACAGACCATTCAGGCAAGAACCTAATCAGAAAGCCTCAGGTGTGACCATGATGCTCTGGTCTTCTCTGGAGAGGCCTGCTGGTTTGGCCATGCCTGCTGCAGCCTTTGCCACCCCTCCTCCCTGCAGTGGGATGCCTTCAGCATGCCTGAGCTCCACAACTTCCTGCGCATCCTACAGCGGGAGGAAGAGGAACACCTCCGCCAGATCCTGCAGAAGTACTCCTGTTGCCGCCAGAAGATCCAGGAGGCCCTGCATGCCTGCCCCCTGGGGTGACCTCTTCTCCCCCTGGGTGGAAGGAGGAGCGTAGGCAGCACAGAGGGTGTGCCGTGTGAGTGTGACAGGGCCTGTCTGGCCTGAGGAATGAGTGTGCATGGAGGCCCTCATCTGGCTGGCGGAATGAACCCAGAGAGCAGCAAAGGAGCGGGCCCCCTGTGTCCACCCGTGGGTGTAGCAGAGCATGGCTCTGCACCCTCTGCCCTTCGTGTCCTGAGTCATGGTGGACAGGATTGCAGCAAGGGTAGAGCAGACAGAAGTCTCCTTAATTTGTGTCTCAGATACGAGAATCTTGGAGACCCAACCAACAGAATAGGGTCATGTTTGCAGGGATGAGGACCCTCAGCTATGGGGAAGGGTTGTATGTCTGGGATGGGGTCTCAGGACCAATAGTGGGTGTTGAAGACCAGGCAGGCATCGAGGAAGAATGCAGGTTTTCCTCTGCAGTGCCCTCGGCTCTGGCACACCCTGGAGTCTGCGTGCTGCTGCCACTGCAGCAACAGTGCCTCAGTGCGCCTCCGAGGAGGAGGACCTGGTCTGGGGTCTGTGGGCACTGGCTCAGGTCCATGCCTTGTTTGCCAATCAAAGCCAGGGTCTTACTTGGGGTATTTTTCATGATGTGTGTGAATGCATATTTTGTGGCCTCAGCTGAATACCTCCTGTGGGGAAAGGGGTGGGAATGACAGTCATCATCAGGGCCTGGGGCTTGGGAAAACTTGGCTGAATAAAGATTCAAGACTCTCCCGCTTTTGCACTCTGTATGGGCTGCGGCCCCGCTTGCCCTTCATGCCAGTGGCTGCCCAAGGTGATGGACAGGCTCACAGAACAGCTTTTCAAGGTCACTGTGGGACCAATTTGAAGGATTTGGGTACAGATATGTAAGTCCTCTCGGCACCCTGGGGCTCAGGTCTTGTTTTGGGCAAGATCATCAGCTGCAGCCAGCGCTCAGGGGAACCCCACACCCCAGAGCAGAGCTGTGGGAGCCGCTCTGGAAGCTGCTCATGTTCCCTGAGGCACAGCCGGCGGTTAGGCCCTGCCTTCCTGAAGCAAACCTTCTGCTGGTTCGGGGAGGACACTGGATTTGACTTCTCAGGCCTCGATGTGGCTGTATGACAAGTGGCCATGTCCTCACTTCCCATAGGTTCCGTTTCTTCTCCACCTGCCAGTGGTGATGGCAAAAGGAACAGAAAGAGGCCGGCCTGGCCCCGGGGGTCAAGTCCCACAGAGCCGGTTGAGGGGGACACTGGTAGTCGGGCAGGCCCGCTGTACCTGACCGACGGGCACAGGCACGTCGGAGGCGCCATACGCGCTAAACAGGCGCGCAGGACAAGCCACCGCCTTCTTGAGTGGGGGCCGCCCCGGCTGGAGACCGTGGCCTGCCGGGACCTGACGTCTCGCGGTGCATGCTGGGATGCCTGATGTCTGGGGGCGGCTATTGGTCTCGCTCTGCGGATCGACGGGAGGAACAGCCAATCAGGGGGCAGCATGAGGGACAGGCGGAAGCGGAAATGAGGTTTCCGTGGAGACAGCCGACCCTGCGGAAGACGGCGGCGGCACCTGCGAGCGGAAGCCAGGGCAGGAATGGTGGCGCGGACTGCCCTGTGAGAGCACAGCAGCCGCGGGGGTCCGCCATGCGCCGGCGGCCCTGACATGGGCACCAGCGGCTCCAAAGCTCGGGGGCTGTGGCCCTTCGCCTCGGCGGCGGGGGGCGGCGGCCCGGAGGCGGCGGCCGCGGAGCAGGCTTTGGTGCGTCCGCGAGGCCGAGTCGTGCCCCCCTTCGTATTCACGCGCCGAGGGTAAGGGCGCG